CCCCCGTGCCCCCTGACCCGTGCCCCCTCAGCAAGCGTGTGAGATGGTGCTGGACATCCTGCGGGAGCGCGACCAGGGCGGCTTCAGCGACCGCGCCGACTACGGAGCGCGCCTGGGCGGGGGCATCGACGTGAGTGCGCCCGGAGCACCCCGAAACCACCCCAGAGACACCCCAAAATCATCCCGGAGACACCCCAAAACCACCCCAGAGTTACCCAAAATCATCCCAGAGTTACTCAAAATCATCCCAGAGACACCCCGAAATCATCCCAGAGTTACTCAAAATCATCCCAGAGACACCCCGAAACCATCCCAGAGTTACCCAAAATCATCCCGGAGACACCCCAGAATCATCCCAGAGACACCCCAAAATCACCCCAAAATCACCCCAGAGACACCCCAAAACCACCCCAGAGTTACCCAAAATCACCCCGGAGACACCCCGGAATCACCCCAGAGACACCCCGGAATCATCCCAGAGACACCCCAAAATCACCCTGAAACCGTCCCAGAGACACCCCGGAATCATCCTGGGAATCATCCCAGAGACACCCCAAAATCACCCCGAAACCATCCCAGAGACACCCCGGAACACCCCAAAATCACCCCAGAGTTACCCAAAATCATCCCGGAGACACCCCGGAACCATCCCAGAGACACCCCGGAATCACCCTGGGAATCATCCCAGAGACACCCCGGAATTATCCCAAAGACATCCCGGAATCACCCCAGAGACACCCCAGAATCATCCCAGAGACACCCCGAAATCACCCCAAAATCATCCCAGAGACACCCCGAAACCATCCCAGAGACACCCCGGAATCATCCCAGAGACACCCTGAAATCATCCCAGAGACACCCTGAAATCATCCTGGGAATCACCCCAGAGACACCCCGAAACCATCCCAGAGACACCCCGGAACACCCCAAAATCACCCCAGAGTTACCCAAAATCACCCCAGAGACACCCCGGAATCATCCTGGGAATCATCCCAGAGACACCCCAAAATCACCCCGAAACCATCCCGGAGACACCCCGGAACACCCCAAAATCACCCCAGAGTTACCCAAAATCATCCCGGAGACACCCCAAAATCACCCTGGGAATCATCCCAGAGACACCCCGAAACCATCCCAGAGTTACCCAAAATCATCCCAGAGACACTAAAACCCCCAATTTCTAAGGCTGAAAAAATCCCATTTTCCATCACGAAAAAACCATTTTTCCACATCAAAAAAATCCAATTTTTAAGGCAAAAAAATCCAACTTTTAAGGCTAAAATTTCAATTTTTAAGGCTAAAAACCCCCAATTTCTAAGTCTGAAAAAATCCCATTTTCCAGCATGAAAACCCCACTTTTCCACATCAAAAAAATCCAACTTTTAAGGCTAAAAAATCCAACTTTTAAGGCAAAAAAATCCAACTTTTAAGGCCAAAAAATCCAATTTTCAAGGGAAAAAAATCCAATTTTTAAGGCAAAAAAATCCAATTTTTAAGGCAAAAAAATCCAATTTTTAAGGCAAAAAAATCCCATTTTTAAGGCAAAAAAATCCAATTTTCAAGCCCGAAAAATCCAATTTTCAAGCCGAAAAAGGCAATTTTTTCCGCGAAAAGCGGCATTTTGCCCCCCAACCCCCGTTTTCCCCCCAAGCTCCGGTCCCTCCCCCCCGGGCCGGGGCCCGAGCCCCCTCCCCAAATTCCCACCCGGTCCCGCAGGTGCCGGTGCCGCGGCACTCGGTCGGGGTGGTGATCGGCCGCAGCGGGGAGATGATCAAGAAGATCCAGAACGACGCCGGGGTGCGCATCCAGTTCAAGCAAGGTGGGACCCCCGC